ACTCCACTCCACTCCACTCCACTCCACTCCACTCTCCACTCCATTCTATTCTACATTCCAATATGTATTCTATTCTACTCTACTCTACTCTACTCTACTCTACTCTACTCTACTCTACTCCACTCCACTCCACTCCACTCCACTCCACTCCACTCCACTCTATTCTACATTCCAATATGTATTCTATTCTACTCTACTCTACTCTACTCTACTCTACTCTACTCTACTCTACTCCACTCCACTCCACTCCACTCTCCACTCCATTCTATTCTACATTCCAATATGTATTCTATTCTACTCTACTCTACTCTATTCTACTCCACTCCACTCCATTCTATTCTACATCCCAATATGTATTCTGTTCTGTTCTATTCTTATTTCTATTTCTATTCTATTCATATACCCTTCTAGGAGAGAACTTTTTGGAGACTCTTCCTGGGAAGATCTCCCTTTTTTCCCCGCTGCAGAGAAATTTTCTTACCCGAGGGTATCTGAATGGGATGTGGGGTTTATGATAGCCGACAGCCAGAAAAAACTTCCTCTTGATTCTTTGCAGACTCTTCAACAAATGGATGGCCTCCTCGGTGCTCTGGATATCTGGCAAAGTAGCCTCGGGCATCTCGGCAACATCCACAGGACAGATCAAATTGGCGTGAAGCTTTCCGTCTTTGCCTTTGCAAACCTGGAAGGCAAACAGCAACCGTCGTAAAACAAATCTGGCCGTTGGAAGGAGACCAGGGCAAACTTAACAAGCCTATAGAAAGACTGCAGGGGTCAGCCTCACCGTCAGGAGGCCGCGTGAGTTCGATCCTAGGTAGAAGCAGATATTTCTCTCTCTGAGCACAATGAGAATATATCTGCTGAATAGAACTCTATACTGGTGACAGGAAGGGCATCCGGCCAGTAAACACTCAGCTCCATTCAGTCGCCCCGATTCCATCCCGCAAGGGATTATGGGGTCGTTTAAGTTACAACAGGACTGAAAAAAGTGACGGACGGCTGTTTTTCATACATTCAACCATTGCAATATCCCGACAGTCACGTGGTCAAAATTTGGACACATTGCCACTGATTCTTACTTATGACCGTTGTAGCGTCCTGGGGGGGCCACGTGATTCCCTTTTTGTGACCTTCTAATGAGCAAAGTCCACGGGGAAGCCTGATGCACTTAACCACCGTGTCTCACTGAACAACTTGGGGCGAGAAAGGTCGTAAAATGGGGCAAAAACTCAACAATGCCTCACTTAGCAACAGAAATTTTGGGCTCAGTTGTGGTCGTAGGTCGAGGACCCCCTGTATGACCACCGATTGTCTAACGACCACAGCGCGTCCGTCTACCTTCGTGTTCTCGTATTTCTCAGAAGACGGGTGGAAAGCCGGAAAGGACCAACTGTACGGATAATCGTCACTGTGGTTTGAGGAGATGCCTGAGAAACAGAAAGGTGAAACACAGGTAAAGCTGGACCCAATCCTTGGATTGGGGTCTCGAATCCTTTCCTGGGGGGGGGGGGGGGGGAAGGGCAGGTCTTGGGAAAGCTCACCTGGGTGGAAAACCTTCCCAACGGACATGGTGATGTAGCCGTTCTCCTTGAAGTACTGCGGCAACGTGGTGTAGTTTCCTGCGTGGCTTCGCCAGTACGAGTTGAAGTCATACAGCCTGGTGGAATCTGGTCGGCGGCCTGTGAGGAAGGAGACTCTGCTTGGGGCACAGACAGCTTGCTGGAGGCAAAAAAAAAAAAAAAGAGGGGAAGAGAGAGAGAGAGAGAGAGAGAGAGAGAGAGAGAGA